AAAAATATTTAAGCATCATATTCTTGTCCCACTTCAAAGCCGTCTTGCTACCTTGGTTTGTCAACTCAAGCATATAACGGTATGCTTCTAATACTGCATACCCATGCTCTGGCGTACCCCATACAAAATCTTATGCATGTTGTCTCCCTTTCCAGCATTTCCAGTAACTAACATCACATCTCAACTTTGTGCGAACAAGTCTCTGAATGTCTTTAGGAGATGGACCTTTCCCTTCAACGAACTAACTTTTGACAAATTGTCCAATAACATCAGCGGAGGCTCGTCGATGCTCACCTAAAATATGTCCTAAATCACATGTGTGCTCATGGGTATATGTGCAAAGAATAAATTTTTCTGACTCGGCCAACCTTCTATAATAAACCTGCCACTTGTACTTTCGGTCACGACATGCAACCGTCACAGCCAATGAATTTGACTTTTTGGTGATGAACTCAAAATTACCTCTCACGGCAATAAGTTTTAGCTTCCTCACCACTTCATCTTTGTTGTCAAATAAATACCCTATGCGCAACTCCCATCCATCCGTAAAAACATGAGCTGATTCACTACTACCTGCAATTGCCCCCTTTGAACCTACATAAATGGCCAATGTGTTCTCTTCCTCACAAACTACACCTTCTGCATCATCTGTATTTAAAGGAATCTCTACATCCGCAGGAATATGTACGGGGTCCTCCTCCTTAACATTTTCATTCTACCCTCCATGACCAACCTCTTCTACAGTGTCCTCCTCACCACCCAATTCACCGTCTACTCTTGATTTTTCAACGAACAAATCATTGCCGCCCTCGTAGTTCAAATTAAAACCAGGCAAATCTTCGCCAACTTCCTCTTTATCCCCTTCCTTTGAACCAACTTCCAACAGTTTTTCTACAAAAGAAACCCTTAAAATCGGCCTCGAACCATTATCGGCCACATCAATCATATATAACTTCACACTTTCATCCGACTTTAATATAGTAGGAGGTACCTAATAATATTAAAGAACTCTGCTTAAAACATACTTCACAACTATATCACTACGTGAGCAACTCAATTCACCTCTTCTAATTATTTCATCAATCAACTCATCAAAACTAACCTCTATGTTCACAACAATTGGTATAATTTCTTTGCTCTTCCCAATCCACTTCCAACTACTTTCTTCCTCTACCCACTCACCAAAATATTCAACACCCAAAACAACTTGTCCTATGTCTCATAATAGCCAACTACCTATAATGCAAGAACAAAACTATTCTTAACTGATGTACTAAGGGTTGAAATATTTTAAAAAGCATCTATATAGTCGCTTGATAGATCTGGTGTATCGCTTAAGCGATCTGGTATATCATTTACTGGATCGCTTTAGCGATCCAGTATAAATAAGCATGATCGCTTAAGCGATCTATCTATTGTATTACTAGCGTACCAGATTGCTTAAGCGATCCATCATATCCAGAACACATTTTCAATCTCTTCGCCTACAATCGGTGCTACAACCCCCAGCTACCCATAATGCAAGACATTTTTCAACAAATTTCACTCCTTTCAACTTCCATTACATCAAACACAACCTAAACAACTAAATCAAAATCATAACCCAAACCCAATCCATCATTAAATCTTTGTAAATCAAACTATAAAATCGAAAAGGGAGATACACATACCTGGACGAAATGTCACAAGGAGGAGGAAGAGGAGGAGGACGACGACGATATGTGTTGGAGAAGATGTCAATGGCGGAGGAATGCATTAATGTCGCGGAAGGAAGAAGAAGGTGTTTGGGTTTGTTTGCAAAAATTTTGACTCTTTGGGGACATATCATAATTTTTAAAAGATTACATAATTATTCATTATTCGTAATTAACCCCTAATCAAGTTTAATTAAGCTTAATAAAAAACATGGCTATTTAGTTAAATTTTACAAACTGTATAGCCTTTTAATTAAATTTCAACTCTAAATGGTCTTTTAATAAAATCCCCTAGAGTGTTAGGGGTGTGCAAAAAAAATCCCATATATGATCTGTAACCGATCCGATCCAAAAAACTGGATATCCGAAAATTCAGAACGAATTCGAATATCAATTTTGGAAGATCTAGATTTCTAGATCGGATACCAGACCAGCTTTGCAAAGAAACCGGATATCTGGATCCAATCTGATTTTGTCTATAACTACAAGTTTTAAGAAGTTATATTGAGGTACTAGGTGAAAAGTGGTAACTTATGTGGACTGTTTTGAAATACGATGACAACTTTGGAGGTCAAAAGTAATGAAATGCTGATGTGGTAGGGTACTAATGAATAATGCAGAATTTTAGGGGGCAAATTAACATTTTCCATGCAAATTCGGATCAAAACTGGATATCAAAACCGGATTAGATGAAATTCGGATCAGGTTAGGTTTCATCTTAATCTAAATTTTCGGATCGGATATCAGGTTTTGCATACCTCTAGACTAAGCGTGTAACCACAGTATAAGTTAGAGATAAAAAAAGAATTGAAGTTTGGATAACATAAGTTATGGGTTTGGTTTACAATTCAATTAGAAAGATTACTATAGAAATAAATCAAATTTCAAAATTAAATTCATAAAAAATGTTTAACTTGATTTAATTTAAATTAATAAATTATTTAGTTAAATAAATACTCCTAACATCACATATATTGTTACAATTTATTTTCTATTTTTTCAAATATATAACTAATTATAAATCATATATATTTGTATGTTGTATTCAGATACTTATATTCTATATTATGTTTATATTATAAACTAGTAAATCAATTAAATTGGAAATCAACTAGAAATCGTATTTATTCATTTACGTAAATTTTAATTTTCTTATATTATTAAGAAAATCTCTGCTTCATGCAGATAAACGAAATTTTGTTATCCTTTTTCAAGCTATATATGTCTAATTTGGGTCATTGAATAAATGAAACTTTGATAAATAACTAATTAATTTCCTTTCTTTCAGTTATTCATTTAACAAATCACGATCTTCCAATTTATAAAATATAAATTGCTTTTGCTAGTGTAACTTATATTACTAAGAACAGCAGAGTAAGTCCTAGGATAATTATTAGCACGACATATAGTACTATTTTCATTAGCAAATAACAATATGGCTAAAAGGAAATATTAATTTATGTTAGTAATATATATAAGTGTTCTATAAAGTATTTTTGGGTTTATTTAAAATCAAAGAAGACTTAGTACCAACGATAATACATTATTAATTATCGGTATAATATTTATAATATTTTTATTATTAACTATAAAAATGATTAAAAAATTAAATATTAGCGTAATTTATTTGATGACCCCTTGAAATTTTTAAATAAATATTTTTTTTTATGTCAATAAATAAAATACAAAAGAGTTTATATGTATATAGTAAAACCTCTCTATAGTGATACTTTATATATGAATAAACTCTACATAATCATAAAAATTTTAATTTCCAATTCGGGATAGTTATAAATAAGAATAAACTCTACATTGTAATAAGTTATAATTTTTCTAATTCCCGTCTTAAGAAAAGTTGCATTTACATAGTAATAATTATCTGTATATTGCAAAAAAAATAGATGCTATCTTACATTAAAGGTTAAGATGAAACAAAATATTTATTTAAAGTTGTTCGAGATAATAATTTATGCTTTAAAGTTGTTACTACATCTTTTAACTTGCGGGTAGACTACTCACTAGCATTAATATCTTCTTGTTGAAGCCAAATATTTCTAGTTTCTCAATTATGTTTAGAGCTTCTTGGCACAAAACTTTTTGTATTTATGTACTATCATCCTCATGATTATTTCCTTTATCTTTTTGTCTAATTGTAGTAATGATTTCTTCTTAGTTTAAGTATACATGATTTATTGCTCATTTGGATGATTGAGAAAGACATTAATATACATTCGATTAGTGTAATGAAGTTGTCGAATCTGATTACTAAATTCTACAATGACTCTTTGATTCTCCTCATCCACTTCATTTGTAACTTGCAATTCATCGACATCGGGGATCCTCATTTGGTAATAATTAAAACAATTGGCAATAGTATGTGGCTTCACATCAATTTGCTGCATAATTTTATAATGATTAAAACAATTGTCAAAAATATGTGGCTTCACATCAATTTGCTGCATAGTTTTGTAATAATTTAAATAATTGGCAATAGTTTGTGGCTTCACATCAATTTAATCATGCAGCAACTGCATTTACAATTTCATCAATGACACTTATCGTTACTGGTTTTAAGACACGATCTTCTATCTGTTTCAAAAGTAGGTAATTGAAGCACTGAATTGAAATCTTAATAGTATTAAAACATCAATTGAAATCTTAATACTATTAAAACATCAATTGAAATCTTAATACTATTAAAACATCAATTAAAATCATAATACTGTACTACTAAAATATGAATTATAAAGAAATTTTTGTTACCACACATCTATTAAGTTATAACCTTCTTATAGTAATAAGATTAATTAATTAATTAATCTTATCGTTATGTCTATAGAGAGGTTTTACTGTATATATATGGGTTACTATTCATGATATAATAGATATACCAAACAAAAGGAGTTTTTATTCACAATTATGATAGAGAAAATATATTCTTCTAGTAGAACTGTAGAAGTACTTCTGCTATTCTATTTTTCAGTAATACTTATTATGTAATATCCGCGAGAAACTTCCTCCCAACTAGTTAAATATTAATAATAGCCTCAAGAACCTTCTTCCAACTTAAATATTAAGAAACTTTCAGTCAGCCATAGTTCACGGTGTGAAGACTCAACCCATATGAATAATTGAGTTTAGTCATCCCAATAAATTCTCCATTTTGAACCAAAACTCCTTAGACAAAAACATATTAATTGACCCAAAATAATAATAAATTAATTTAAATATAAATAAATAGTATGTTCGTTATAGTTACAAAATAATAATATCTTTTCCTACGAAAATTTCAAATACTTTTTATCTTTACATCAAACCTTTCTTCTTCAAAATTTTCCTATGAAAATTCGAATACTTTTCACCATCAAACGTCGGACTAGCCGCCGGCCGATACTCCGGCAAAAGCCTTCCGGACTTATACCTCACTCCACATGCATTACACAACGTTTTCGGCCCCAACGGTCCTATCCTCCACTGCGGTGTCTCCGTCGTCTCACAGTGACTACACCTCCGCCGTGACTCCTCACCATCCTCCCCACAAAAACTCACTTCTTTCATCGACCACCCGCGTTTCCCCTCCTGCTTACTCCTCTGCTTCTGGCTCGAGATAAAACCTCTGCCGCCACTACAATCTTTCAACGCCACTCGCAATTGATTTTGATGTTGATGTTTCTTCTCCGGAACTCGTTGCTCTGAGTTAACGTTGTACCACTCTAAATCCCTCAAAGAAATGGGTTTATTGTCTATAAAAGTCGGAAATAATTCGATATCTTCAAGAGGGTCTTGAGGAACACAAAGCGGGCTTGCAGCAAAGTCAATTAAACCAGAATAATAATCATAATTTTCCTTTTCATTGATCTCCAAGTCGTCCAATTCATCGAATGAAAATATATCCGACATTGTCGTTCACAATAAGAAGAAGAAAATATTGCAAAATACGAAGGAATGTCGACAGGTTTTAGAATATTTATAGAAGACAAGAGGCTGCTATTTATTGACTTAAATAAGTTTAATAATTTAATTTATTTACGTAACTATTAAGTAATTTGTTTTATTTTGATAAGGCTACTGGTGTTTTTATGTAACTATACGTATAAATTTATGGTGTCTATACTATCATAAAGAAATTAGGAAAGTTAATACTATTAGATAAGGATTTCTTTTGTACTCAATACTTATCCATAAAATCTGGATCATATTTATAGTACGAGGGACTTAAGTTTGGTTTAGCCAGGTTTATTTTGAATTTTAAAATTTTCTCACTCGTATTATCATGATAATTTGATTGATTTTTTTTTATTTAATTTTGTTAAAATAGTAAAAATAAATTCATTATTTTTGTATTTTGTTAGTGACATCTCTAATATATTATAAAGGGTTAGTTATTTTATTATTTTTTAAATTTTATTAGACTAAAGAGAAGTTTTAGAAGGTAGGACCGATATCAATATATAATTAATTAAATTTATTCTTATTATAGAAATAAGGTGACTTATATCTTAAGAAAAATCAATTATTTTCTTATATTGAAATAATGGGTCATCATTTATCTATTTTGATAATTTTAGTCAATAAAACATTATTTTGATAATTAAATCTTGAAACTAAGATATATAGGTAAAAAATTTAAAAATTTATAAAATTGTAAATATCTTGATAATTGTGAAACCTCTTGTTGATACGATACCAATTATCACTATTATGTCTTCGATTTCAACAAAATTCCAAACTTTATAGTAAAAACAAAAACAATTAAAATAAAAAGTTTCTGACAGGTGGCATCCAACAATTTGCCAGAATACGTATGTGAGATTTTATGGATTTCAAACACATTCAAAACGTGTTGATAGCTGTCTTCAGGACATGGTAAGTTTAGGACAATAAGGAAACCGCGTAAAAAATGATGAAGATTGTTTTTATCTAGAGGATACTGGAAATTTCTTGCCCTAGAAGATATTGGTGTTTAATTAATGTAATATAATGAGACCAATAAATTAAACGCGATATGAAGCTATTCGATATACGATTTTGGTTGAATTTTATTGGTTCCGTTTGGTTTATTATTTTAATAGTTTTTAGAATAATCTTTTAAAAATAGTAAAATTGGGCAGATATTATGATATAGGATTTGAAAATTAACAAAAATATCCCCTATATTTATTTATTTACTAAACACCTCTATAATAAAATATTAAAAGTTAACAAAAACACTCCCAACCCATCCATTAAATACGGACAGCCGACCACCACTGCCGGAGGGTGGCCAGAGTGCTTTTGCAATTTCTAAAAAAATATTTTGGGGTGTTTAGTTAAATTAACAAATTTAGGATATTTAAAAGAAATCGAAAAATATAGAATAATATTTTAGGAATAATGACATTTTACTGTTTAACTTTTTTGGGAATACTAATAATAGTATTCCCCAAAATGAAACAAACAGAGCCATTGATTTATGCTATTAATGGTACGTATTTTATTGATTGAATTAAGTAAAGATATTTTAGCAATTTTAATAATGAATTTATAGCAAATAAATAATATCTTCATATAACTTTGACTTAATTGCTCTTGTAGTTGTCTAAATGGCAGAAAAAAAAAAAAGTTAGGGTGTGTTTGTTTTTGCTACTTTTATCTTAAGTGTAAATAAATTTAGGATTTGTCGATTTTTTTTCCTTCAAATTATCACTTATTTTTAGGTAAATAAGTTTGAATGGAATAAGGGCATGTTTGTTCTTGGCACATAACTTATATCTAAAATCTTAAAACTTATCAAGCACATAAGCTAGATTACTTAGTATACCCTTACTTTATAATACATACACAATTGACCAATCAATCTTCAAGAACATTATTTTATGAAACGACTCAAAATGTAGGTGAATGTAATTTATTGAGGTGCCGATTGTCGTTGTCAATCGGCATCTTTTGTTCTGGTTTCTTAAGTCTTAACGAGACATATCCCCATGCAACTTTAAGTGTTAGTAAAATTACCCGAATAACGACGCGGCTTTACGTTAGGATATGGTTTTGTTAGATAAGTCTAAAAATTATACTTTTGAGTCTTAGTGAAATTAGGAATAGTTTCTGTTTTAGGATATAAACCAAATCCTAAGTGCAATATGATTTCGGTATAATAAGGGAAGTTTGTATTTTAATAAGAGAGGAAAATGTTTTGTTACAACCACCACTGAGTGGCCTGCTGGTATAAGACTAAAAGTAGGTTCTGTGAGCTCTTGAGTTTGAGTTTCCATAGGCCTTAATAAGGGTGGCCACAGAGGGGCTTACTTGGTCGTTAACTTCAGGGTCTTGGGGGTTTAACTGAGGTGTGCGCAAGTTGGCTCGAACTCACCAAAAAAAAAAAAAAAAAAAATGTTTTGTTATCCCCCTACTATGATTATATACAAAGATGTTAAAATATGAAGCCATTAAACGGTACCACATGACTTAATACCATGCGCTGCTATTTTCAGTGCTGGTCCTTGTTTAATCTTGGCCGTCACTTTGCATCAAGATCCAATGGTTGCCCTCCTCTCATTTAGTCAACATATAAAAGCAGCCCATTCTCTATTGTGATTTGTGTAATTCTTGGGCAATTTTGGTGAATCATGTTGTAAAGGTTGTGTTTCCTTTGGGTTAAGAGGAGTGGGTTAGATTTCTCTTAGGTTTTATAAGGATTACTTTGAGTGGGTGTTTGTAATAGCAATTGAGAGAGATTTGAGAGTTCTTGTGAGTTGTGATCTGTAAAAACGTTCTTGATACAAAGTGTAATGGGCCTCGGTGTTCTGGAGCTCAACGTGGACGTAACTTGTTCAAATCTTGAACAAGTGAACCATGGTAATTATTTGTGTCTTCGAATTCTTCTTTAATCTTGTGTTTGTGATCGAATTACCAGTAGATTGAGTGTGTATTTGGTCCCAAATCACAACAACAGTATCAGAGCTTTTAGTTCTAAGGTTTGTCTAGGGTTGTTTTCGAGCCGATGTGAGTTTTTGGCTTAACGAGCTCGGCTCATGAAAGGGGAGGGGAAATCGAGTTCGAGCCAAGCCAAGTCGAGCCTCTGATTTTCTAGCTCAGCTCGGCTCGTGAAGGGAGGAGGGGAATTCGAGCCTGGCTCGTGAGCTGGTAAAAAAAAAGCAATTTTTTTTTTTTAAAATTAAGTGTAGATTTCAATTTTTTTTTGTATTGGTTCAGAGAAAATAAAGTGTATGGCTTGTGTTGGACTGTTGGTTTAACATTGAGCTTCAGACTCTTTGTACTATATAGATATATATATATATATATAATAATATATATAATATATATATATATATATATATAATATAATATATATATATATATATGTGTGTGTGTGTGTGTGTAATTATATGGTATTTGTATGCTCTCTTCAATAGTTTATTATTCACTTGGTAATATGACATCACAAATAATATAGAATAAATAATCTATGGCTCCGTTTGGTTCATTATTCTGATAGTTTTTTAACAATCTTTTGAAAAAAGTTAAATTGGGGGGGTATTACGATGTAGGATTTGGAAATTAACAACAATATCCCCTATTTGTTTATTTACTAAACACCCCTAAATAAATATTAAAAGTTAACAAAAACACCCCCAACCCACCCATTAATACGGACAGCCGGAGGGTGGCCGGAGTGTTTTTACAATTCTAAAAAAAATATTTGGGGGTTAGGTAAAGTACCAAATTTAGGAGATTTAAAAGAAATTGAAAAATATAGAATAATATTTTGGGAATAATGACATTTTACTGTTTAACTTTTTTGGGAATACTAATAATAGTATTCCAAAAAATGAAACATACGGAGCCTATGATTTCATTATAGATGAGTGACACTTTCACAAGCAACATCGCATGTGATGTGATCATTGAAGAAGCCAAAAAAATGAAGTTTATAAAATATAAATACATTCATTCAAGGAGGAGGGTCCATGTTTCGAATTCAAAATACCCTTTGTTGTTTGTACACGTGTAGAAAAAAACCGAAGGTCAATAAAATGCCTCTATTATATTGTCCTGTTGGCTTGAAACTCATGTAGGCTCACATTCCAATAACTTTTTTCATGCAAATTACTCATAGCAGCTTTACAAATGTCACTTCTTTTAAACTAAATTCTAAAATAGCCCTAACTCTATCAAATTTGCGAGTAATATAACACACACCAATAATGTTATCCTTACTCACAAACTTACTAACCACATTACTCACCTTTGTAAATATAAAGCATAGTAAGGGTACCATAAGCATAGTATAGGTACCATATGTAATTTTAACAAAGGTAAGCAAGGTGGTTAATAAGTTCGTGAGTAAGGATAGCATTATTGTAACACACACATACCTTTACAAGCCAACACTTTCAACAACCTTGACGATGGCGACAGTGAGATGGGTTTGACGCTAACAAGACAAAAGGAAAACACAAAGCGTCCAAACGTTGATGAGATTTGAAGGGATAGATACGGCGAGTCTATGACAACACGACGATAAAGCATATAGGTTTGACGGCGACGAGGAAAGACACCAGAGGAAGCTAAAAAGTTGGTTGAAATTCTTTACTCATTTTGGTTTTACGGCAAACAGTGGTGGAGTCGCATTTTTAGGGATTTCAAAATCAGGGGGATTTTTGTTATTTTTGCAAACCTTTTTCTTTGAAAATTTTAGTTTAATCCCCCATACTTTAAAAACTCCTAAAATGCCCCTACAAATTCGAGTTGGATGCGACTCGTGAGCCTAGTCAGGCTCGAACTCAGCTCGTTTTCTGTCACGAACCGAGCCGAGTCGGCTGGAAATAGCCAAGTCGAGCCGTTAACGAGCCAGACTCAAGCTGGCTCGTGAGCGGCTCGATTCGTTAAACAGTCCTAGGTTTGTCAATTTCTAGGGTTTG